AGAGAGAGAGAGAGACAGACCCCCTTTGCTTCCGCTTCTCTGCTGTTAATCAGATTCTAATTGCGTTCAGCACGATGCCAGAGGTGCCCGCAGCCAATAAGGAGGTGATGGCAGGCAGCCGACAGAAGCTGTCAAAATAGCCCTTGAAAAGGGGGTCCGGGGAGGGGGACTTGATGATAATGCGAAAATGAGATACAAAACTAGGGGGCAGAGAGGGAGGTGTGGAAATGGAAACAGACACACACACACACACACACACATACACACACGCACACACACAGCAAGCCTTTCCTCTGGCTACTGGCAATATTTACTCAGAATTTACAAGGCACGGAAAACACTCTGAACATTATAATCCTTTAGAAAAAGAAAAGAGTCGCTGGTGGAGAAAGAAGCTTAAAAGGGGGCTATTGTTCCCATTTTGCTGATGGGGAACTGAGGCCCGAAGTGGATAAGCAGAAGGAGGAGAGGCAGACCCGTCAGAAATAGCTGATGTTTTAAGGAAGTTAAAAGGGGAGCTGGTATGGTCTGGCGGTGAAGGCTCCCGGCTAGAGCTGGGAGCTGGTGAGTTCTAGTTCTGCTTTAGGCAGAATAGCTGGCTGGGTGACTTTGGGCCCATCACTAGGAGACAAGTGAGTTCTAGACCCACCTTAAGCATGATAGCCAGCTGGGTGACTCTGGGTCAATCACTAGAAGACAGTGAGTTCTAGTTCTGCTTTAGGCATGAAAGCCGGCTGGGTGACTTTGGGCCAATCACCAGGAGACGGTGAATTCTAATCCTGGCTTAGGCGTGGAAGCTGGCTGGGTGACTTTGGGCCAATCACCAGGAGACGGTGAATTCTAGTCCCGCCTTAGGCATAAAAGCTGGCTGGGTGACTTTGGGCCAATCACCTGGAGACTGGGAGTTCTAGTTCCATCTTAGCCATGAAAGCCAGCTTAATGACTTTGGGTCAATCACTAGGAAACGGCGAGTTCTAGTTCCGCTTTATTCCATAGGTGGTAAAGGGGCCTCAGTTGCCCACTCCTGCTCTAGCTCTTTAGAGGATGAGATCAATCTTCAATTCAGGATATCCCCTCAATGCACAAAACTCTAACCCCGAGTTTAAGCAGCATCACTGCTGTGTTCGCAGGACCCGCTTGCACGCTCGAGAAAGCACGAGATGTTTTAAGGAGATCAAAAGCCTGTGCAGAAGAGAAAACCCTCCTGCATACGGATATTAAAGAACGTGCATCCTCACAGCAGGCGTCTTTTTATTTCTACTTTTCCCACTCAGCCCCCAACCGGACTTTTTAATCTCTTCAAGGATCTACCAATTTCTATCAAAGAGCTTCTATTGGGTTAAGTCAACCCACCGCTCATCTCCCTCCCTTGCAAAGCTCAGGAGCGCCCCCTGCAGGTCCAAAGAGAAACAGGGGTATCCCACCCAGATTTTCAGCTGGTAGAAACAGCCCAGCTGGCAAATAGATCCTAAAGCAGGGGTCTTCAAACTTGGCCCTTTGATGACTTGTGGACTTCAAACTCCCAGAATTCCTCAGCCAGGCACACGTGCCTGGCTGAGGAATTCTGGGAGTTGAAGTCCACAAGTCATCCAAGGGCCAAGTTTGAAGACCCCTGGCCTACGGCTTGATCGCTTGATTGTATCTATGTAACTTGATGCAAAAATTAAAGCAGAGTTTTTCAACTTTGGCGACTCTTCCTTACCTGAAAAGTTCTCGGATCTCTTTCACCGTGGCCTGGAAGGGGATATTCCGCACCAAAATCTTGGAATTCACTTGCTTCTTGCTGACTTGCTTCTTACGTGCGGTTGCCACCGTGGACCTGTTGATCCGAGAGAGAGATGGGCGTCAGGGCCATGCAGCCAGGCTGTTTTCTTGGGCCAGGCATGAGATTGAAACCAAGTCTGGTGGCATTGGAGCTTAAGGGGGCCTCTGGGATCTACTGAGGATTGCAAAGAGGCCAAACCACACAGGACTAACACCAAGGAGCAACCATCCTCACATCTGGGAATGGTCAGCATCGCCTGCCACTGGATAGCAGGCAGGGCGAGGGGCTCAGAAGACCCTCCCTAGTTTCTTGTCAAGGAAGATTAGACTTGCAAGATTCACACACTGTCTCTCTCTCTCTCACACACACACACACACACACAAATGGTGTGTGGCAATGACCTTGAGAGATAGGGAGACTGCTACATAGGGTATCTCCAGATGGAATCCAAACTCGATTGCTTCCTTGCAGACATTTCATTACCCAGCTAGGTAGCATCATCAGTACCAATAACACCACATCGTCGCCTCACCTTGCGACATCCACGCCACCCGGATGACGTTACCTGGCTGGCTAATGAAACGTCTGCAAGGGAAACAATCAAACTCAGAGAGCACCCAGGACGTCTCTGTCAACATAGCTTTTCAATCAAGTGGAATTAGTTCTTCGGGATTGCGATTCCCATCTGGTTTATCGTGCGTGGCCGACATCAACATCCCTCCTCGTCTCCTTTACAGACCAAGAAATTAGAAGGGGGGGGTCCCTTCTGAGTGTCTTTCTCCATCCATTTCCAGCTGTGGGCTAAGCTGTCCCTTCTCTGGTTGTCCCCTTGGCAGCCTCTCTCCGCTCAGTTTCCCAAGGTTTTCCCGTATACCGGCAAGTTATCTGAGACCACTGAGGCTACTTTACCCCTGATAAAGTCTTGGTGGAACTTGGTATCTGACCCTCCCAAATTTTAGTTGCCCGGTTCCATTTACACCCTGCAAGCAGATGCCTGGATGGAGTTCCTCCAAAAACAGGAGAAAGGCCACCAGTGACTTACTTCTCTTCCCAAAACTTACTTGGTGGCTCTTTCAGAGATTTTCACCTCCAGCTGATGGCCGTCCACAGAACAAGCCTAAAAGAAAGCAAAAGGGACAACTTGAACCCTTCCGTTCCACAAAATAAAATGCTGCAAGTGGTACCCAGTGAACCAACCACAGAAGCGGGTTCTCCCTCACCTTGATGGAAAGCAGGGCTAATTCATTAGAGGGCAGGATCTCAGCACGTTGCTTTTTTAAAGAGAAGTTGTTAACCGAAAGGCCAAATGGATGACTGATCAACTAGACCCAACCCGGGAGCCCGTGGGGTCCAACAAATCAATCTCCCTTAGGTGGGAGGTCCCCTGTTCATTGGTGGCTGATGAGTCTTAAATCCATCACAGCTGGAGGACACCAAGTTCAGGAAGGCTGGTCCTTACCAGCTGACAATGAAAGGGGAGCAAAGGAGGGTGCAAGAATGAGATCATAAATCAAGGTTTGCTACGCTAAATAATATTCCAAGGGGGAAGGGGGTCATCCGTGAACTCTACTTCGGTCCATTATTCAGGATGCATCGTGGAGAAACCTTGAAAGGCACACAAAGCCCAAGTGAGTGCCCAGGAATTTGCTATAGGCTAGGCCAGGGCTAGCCAACCTTGGCTCTTTTATGACTTGTGGACTTCAACTCCCAGAATTCCTCAGCCAGCATGAGGGAAACTTTGGCCCCTTCATGACTCGTGGACTTCAACTCCCAGAATTCCTCAGCCAGCATGGCTCAGCTTGGAAACCTCTCCCTTTCCCCTCAGCATGGCTGGCTCAGGAATTCTGGGAGTTGAAGTCCACCAGTCATAAAAGAGCCAAGGTTGCCTACCCCTGGGCTAGGCAGAGTGAAGGGTGTGTGTGTGTGTGTGTGTGTGTTGCGATGGCTCAATGGTTAAAGACTCTGAGCTTGTCAGTTGGAAAGCTGACAGCCAGGGTTCAAGACCCAAGCGCTGTGCGACAGGATGAGCTCCCGTTACTTGCTCCGGCTCCTCGGAGATGCTTCCCTCTTTGTGGGCCGAAGCATCCTTTGCGTGACAATTGTCTAAGCTGCGGCTCTTCCTCCTGTCTCCCAAAGGCATTCCCCAAAGACCATTTTGCACTCTTACCTGTAGTTGCTTGATAGCTTTCTGGGCATATTCTGGCTTCTTGTACTCCACAAATCCAAACCCCATGGAGAGAAGATTGCCTAAGAGGAACATCAGAAGCTGATTAACACTAAAATACTTCCCTGTTCCTTCTCTAGCTTAGGGACCGACCCTCAGCCTTGTAAGGTGCCAAGCGCTTGGATTTTGCTCGTGGGGAACGCCACAGTGGTCGTAAGTGCAAGAACTGGTTGTAAGTCAGGGTTTTTTTCCCCAACTTTGTTGGGGAAATTTTGAACGGTCATTAAATGAATGATTGTTATAAGATGAGAACTACCTGCAAGGCCAACCAACTGTGGGTTACAGGGATTAAGGTCTAACACACACCCAGGTCACAAAAGAACGCCAAGGACAAAAGCAGAAAAAATACACACCGGCTTTATCTTTCTTCTTTGAGACCGTGCAACTCCGCACAACGCCAGCTTTGGAAAAAACCTGGGAAAGGAGAAAGGTAAGCACCCTTTCAGTTTGATTCTCCTGTATTGTGCCAATCTGCTTTTCTACCAGACAAGAAGGGCAAAGGGGGAGGCAGTAACAGAAGGGTTACCAGACACTAAAAATCCACACTCGCAAACTCCCAGCTGAGTTTGTGTTTCGCGTTAGGTAAGCAAGTCAGAATACGGACTGTGGTGCAGCACAAAGCTGAGTCTGTAATGTGGATTATTTGACTGCCTAAATGGCAGTCTTCAAATTTAATTCACGAGGAAGACTGATGATGTCTGTAAAATTCTAAGATTATGGCGAAACACAAACACACGCTTGGGAAGGGAGGGAGGGAGGGAGGGAGGGAGGGAGGGAAGGAAGGAAGGAAAAAAGCAAGAAGGGAGGGAGGGAAGGAGGAAGGAAGGAAGGAAAGAAGGAAGGAAGGAAAAAAGCAAGAAGGGAGGGAGGGAAGGAGGAAGGAAGGAAGGAAATGGAGAGCAGAGGGGAGAGGGATGGGGAGGAAGGAAGGAAGGAAGAAAGGAAAAAAGCAAGAAAGCAGGGAGGGAGGGAGGAAAGAAGGAAGGAAGGAAGGAAGGAAGGAAGGAAGGAAGGAAGGAAGGAAGGAAAAAAGCAAGAAAGAAGGGAGGGAGGGAGGGAAGGAAATGGAGAGCAGAGGGGAGAGCCTACCCCCTCCCTCCTTCTTTCCTTCCTTTCTGTATGTTAATATTAGATGAAGTTCGATAAACTTCGGTTACGATTTCTGCTTTGCTACGATTATTTACCCTCGACTTTAGAATGAGTTTGAGGGTCTTGTTGATGTTTTAATATAATAAGAAAGCTTCATAGTCCTTCCTTGCGTTTTAGAAAAGTCCGTTGGGGGGCAAATTATCTGATAGACAATCAGAATGCTTGTTAGTTATAGGATGCTGAGTGACTTTCCCTGCCTCGCCAGGCAAACCAGATAGGAATCACAACCAGGTCAGTTTATTCCACTTTATTTTCAAGCTACCCTGACAGAACCTTGCAAGCCTTGAAAGTACAATTCTATCCCTACCAATTCTACCACTTAAGAAACTAGGGAGGGTTTCTTCCAAGCCTCTGGTCCAACTCACTGTCCAGCTGTGGGCCATGTCCTCTCTTCTCTGGCCCTTCCCTTGGCAGCCGGTCTTCGTTCCATCTCCCAAGGTCTTTCCCACAGGCCATCACACAGTCATGAAATCGCAAAAAAAATCACCTCTTTCAGCGTATCCTCTGTCGTGCTGAAGTTGAGGTTTTTTATGAAAATGGTACAGCCTGGAAGACTTCCTTCTTCTTCTTCCTCCTCCTCCTCTTCCTCCTCCATTTCCTTCTGAGCATCACTTTTTTCAGAAACTCCTGCAAGAGAAGAAAACATGAGCGAATCCAAGGGAAGGAAGTACTTGAGGCTCAGCTTGGCTTTCAAAAATGTCAACCTTGAAGATCAAAGAAAAAGAAGACGCAGGATATTTTCAAACCTGGAACTTATTTTCTCCGTGGCTGGAAAAACGGGATAGAGAGCAAGAACTTAACTTGTATTACTAAGCAAAACAAATCCACCCAGGCAACACGTTGTTCATTAAGCACTAATGAATTGTAACAATAAGAAAATTAATTTTTTTTAAAGTTAATTTGACAAGTCAGCCCCCAAGAGAGCAAGCCCATAGACCAGAGGCCAACTTTCTGGAGGGGCTCATCCTTTCTCTCTCTGTTATGCAGCTAGGGGCTATGCTCCCTCTTATCTAACAGCAAACACATTATAATATCAATGAAGGAGAACATTTGTTGCTGAGGGTTCAAATGAGGGGTACTTGATGCTCTCTGAGCTTGTTTTCTTGCAGACGTTTCATTACCAAACTAGGTAACCTCATCAGCACTGAAGTTACCTAGTTGGGTAATGAAACGTCTGCAAGAAAACAAGCTCAGAGAGCATCAAGGACCCCACAGTCCTCCTCCTCCTCCTCTCCACAAACCCCACTCCCTTCTAGCACTAATAAGGTTACCATATCAATGTCCCCACATCATTGGGGACAAGAATGGAGTCCCCAACAAGGCATACCTCGGGCAACGGTGATGTCACCGGCTAATCCTTTCAACCTGGAAGCGCCTTCCGACAGAAAGGGGAATATCAGCTCCCTACACGTACCTCTCTGGGTTTGTTCGTCGCCTTCCTTTTGCTCTTCCACCTCTGGTGTTTTCTTCCCGGGACCAGAAAAGACCCCCGTGGGTGCCCATTCGAGGTAGAGAGGGATATGCTGGAACTGAGCAAGGAAAAAAGGGAAACCAGTGCAGAGAAGTTAAAACCAGCAAAGGAAAAAAAAAAAAATCCGGCGCAAATCCGTGCCAGGACAAAAAGTCTCCCAAGATCTGTTTAAGGCAGGGAGCCAAATCAAGGCTGAAAAGTGGATGGGATGGGTTTTTCCCCCCCGATCTTGGCGGCTTGGAGATGTGTGGGCTCCAACTCCCAGCATTCCCACGCTGGCTGGGGAATTCTGGGAGCTGAAGTCCACAGGTCTTCAAGCTGCCAAGCTTGAGAAAACACTGGGGCAGGGTATCCGAGCACGCTGCAGAATCGCTGGGATCCAATCGCCAGGCCTGCCTGCCACCCCTGGAGGCTTACCTTGGAGTAAGCTAACTTGGTAAAGGCCTTTTTGGCTTCTGTGGGTTCCAGGAACTCCACGATGGCGGTCACGCCTCCTTTCGGGAGCAGGACCCGCCCGAGGCTACCAAACGGCTGGAACACCTCCTCCAGCTGCTCTGCCTTTGTGGCAGCAGGCAAGTTCTTCACCAAAATCACCATCTTGCTCCGCTCTCTGGCAGCCTGGAAGAAAGGGAAGAGAGGCCGCGTTGCAAACCTAACTGGGTGTTTAAGAGCCGCTTCCTTACCATCATCCAAAAGGCTATGGAAGCAAAGGATTCAGCAGCCCAAGGCAGGGGTAGGCAACCTTGGCTCTTTTATGACTCGTGGACTTCAACTCCCAGAATTCCTGAGCCAGCCGTGCTGAGGGGAAAGGGAGAGGTTTCCAAGCTGAGCCAGGCTGGCTCAGGAATTCTGGGAATTGAAGTCCACGAGTCATAAAAGAGCCAAGGTTGACTACCCCTGGTATAGGGTTTCCTGCCTGAGCAGGGGGTTGGACTAGATGACCTCCAAGGTCCCTTCCAACTTTATTACTATTATTATTATAACTCAAGGCAATGAACATATCTAATAGTCCTTCCTCCTCCTATTGCCTCCAGAAAAACAGCCTTGTGAGGTGGGCTGGGCTGAGAGAGAGGGACTAGCCCAGGGGTAGGCAACCTTGGCTCTTTCATGACTCGTGGACTTCAACTCCCAGAATTCCTGAGCCAGCCGTGCTGAGGGGAAAGGGAGCGGTTTCCATGCTGAGCCATGCTGGCTCAGGAATTCTGGGAGTTGAAGTCCATGAGTCATAAAAGAGCCAAGGTGGCCTACTCCTGGCCCAAGGGAAGCAGGTTTGCCGATTTGATCACTTCCCTGTTGGGAGGGGCTCCCTGCACGTAGAAAGAAGGAGAGAATCAGGGAATCTCCTTTCCTTCCTTGAGAACCTCAGAACAGGGAAAAAAAAGAAATCAAGAGAAAAAGAAAAAAAAGTGAAAGAAAACAAGATGGGGGAAAAAAACAGAAAGGGAAGGAAAAAAAAATAGAAAGTGCCTTTCAATATTCTTCACAGCAGATACAGGCACATATAGCTTTGATGTGTATTTTTATATATTTTCACCTCTCTCTAAAGCTACATCGTATTTCTTTCCTCTCTTATCGTCTATTCTTTCTAATCTTCAAAAGCATAAATCACGTTCATTATTATTATTTTTTCAGGTTGATGCCAAAAGCTGAGAAGGAGCTTTGGAACCACAGGAATGTTTTAACCAAACATGCTGTATCACAGGGGTCTACAACCTTGACACCTTTAAGACTTGTGGACTTCAGCTCCCAGAATTCCCCAGCTGAGGAATTCTGGGAGCTGAAGTCCACAAGACTTAAAGGTGTCAAGGTTGCAGACCCCTGCTCTATCACACTCTCTTTTCGGATAGTTTCGCCCACTATTTATGATGTCCCAGATTTGGTGAGAAGGAAATGAGAGTTTGAACAGCCACGGCTGTCAACGCTGCAAATACTGTATATTCTTGTTTTGACAATGTACAGAACTGTCTGGTATATATATAGTTAAACCAGCAACTGGGAAAGAGGGAGGAGCATAAGGATAGCCCGGGAGAAAGAAACCGGAAGTAAATCACATCTTCCAAGTTGATTGGAAGATGTGAACCATGACCCTACAATAAGGGAGTGGAAAATGCTTGGAATGTATATGCGTAACGGAAGAGAAGCAGACCTAAGCATTTCCACCATGCTGTGCTGACGTATTGTGACCTTAATAAATGCTTTTAGGAGAAAACATGCCTGAAAGTCCTTTTAAGTGTTTCGTTACTCAGACACATGACATTATGCTTAGGCTCTCTTACCTGGCTGAAGGAATCCAGACTGACTCCGTTTTCAAGCAGGAACCGGCGCACGTTTTGAACAAGCTCGGTTTCCCCAAGCGCCACCCTCACGGCCACGCTTCCCTTGCCTTCCTGACAAGAGAAAAAAAGAGAAGTTCTCCAGATCCCTACGGTCGTAAATCCATATCGGTTGCCAAGTGCCCAAATCCTATCACCGTGGGGACCTTGCGACGGTTGTTACATGCAAGGAAGGGTTGCAATTCACGTTTTTCAGCAGCGCTGTAACTTCCAACAGTTATAAGTTGAGGATTACCTGTAATTTCCCAGATAATCACCCACACTCAAGTTGCCGAATTTGAAAAGTACTGAATTTAGGGGAACGGGAAATATTTAGCGTAGAGTTGGAAGACGGTTAAGGGCAAAACCCATTTAAATAAACACACGAATGAGAAAAAAAACTCTCACGTGATCCAGCACTTGACTTTTAGTGGCGTTGTATTTCTGTGCCACCGCGTCTGCCACGGCATTTGTCCCCATGAACAGGGTGTTCCAGTTGTGAGAGCTGGGTGGAGGAGAAACATTTGTGAGTTCTTGCGGTTGGGGAGGACGAGAAGAATAAAATGTTCCCGAAGTGGAGGAACAGAGGGCGAACGTGTCAGAATTTGCAGAATTTGGTCAGAGAACAAACAAGATAGTTTTGGTCTTCGTTCAGCAAAAAGTTTTTAAGAAGAGACTGGACAGCCATTTGTCTGAAATGGTATAGGGTTTCCTGCCTGAGCAGGGGTTGGACTAGATGACCTCCAAGGTCCCTTCCAACATCATCGTCATCATCATCATCATCATCATTATTATTAGTCTTTCATTATATGAAAACTCTTGATATAAAGAAAAAAGAGAGAGGAAGACAAGCTCGTGGAAGCACAAACCTCAAGCTGTTTGCTTTATCTTTTGAAGCTTTTTGCTTCTTGTACGAAGACGATCCGGCAGGATCTGAACTCTCCGCTTCTTCCTTCTTGATGGTGGAAGGCAAGACATGCAGCATTCGGCCCTAAGGGACAAAAAAGAACGCCTGAAATGTCGATGCTGGAAAGAGGACCAGTGGAAAAGCCCAAAGTTATCCTGCATCCCTAGCCTTGGAAAATCTCTCCAACGCTCAAGCTTCAAAACCCAAGAAAGACACACTGAGATTCGGCAAAGGGACGCCCACCCGATCCGTTCGTACCTGGAAAACCTGTCCATCCACTTCTGCAAAGGCCTTCACGGCATGCTCAGGAAACATGTAGGTGACAAACGCAAAGCCTTTGGGCCTCTTGGTGAGACCGTCCATGGGGAAGTGGATCTCGGAGACAGGGCCTGTGGAAGGACAGATGCGTTGGGGAAAGACTGCGGGAGCAGATGTTGAAATCTAAGAGGGCCTGTCCTGTTTTAGGAACAACATTTTGGAAAAAGAGGCCCCAGGCCCCACAAAACGAGAACCAGGGTGAGAATTTACCGTATTTGGAAAAGGTGGCCTCCAGTTCTTCTTCGGTGCAGGTGTAAGGCAGATTCCGCACAAAAAGCCTTCCTGATTCCGAAAGATCCTCTTCTTCCTCGTCATCCTTTTTGGCCCTCTGCCAGACCTGGCCTGACCCCTTCTCAGGGGGCTTCGCCTGAGCGCCCCGCTCTTCTGGAAACAGCTCAATATACCGACCGCCTGCCGGGCAAAATGCAAAACACAGGTGATCCTCGACTTACGAGCACAACGTTTCTCTGGTTAAGTGAGACGTTTGTTAGGGAGTTTTTTGCCGCATTTTACGACTATCCTTGACCCAGTTGTTAAGTGAATCACTGCAGTTGTTAAGTTAGCCACCCAGCTGTGAAGTGATTCTGGCTTCCCCTGTTGACTTGGCTTGTCAGAAGGTCGCCAAAGGGGATCACTCTGCAACCGTCGTAAATATGAGTCGGTTGTACAAGTGTCCGAATTTTAATCACATGACCACAGGGATGCTGTGACGGTCGTAAGTGTGAAAAATGGTCACAAGTCACTTTTTTTTCAGCGCTGTTGCAACTTGGAATGCTCCTTAAATGAACTGTTGTTAAGTCAATGTTTCTGTATCGCAGAAAAAAACAAAAAACTCCTTTTTGGGAAAAATCTGGGCAAAGACGCTCTTTTGCTGAAACAGCATCAATGTCAACCCTTTCTCAAAGGCCAAGAAAATCCCCCCAAATCATTGGTAAACAGGGGTGCCCTCAGATGGACATCCCGAAAAGAGGCAAGTTTTACTTCCCAAAACTAAATTTGTGCCCTTATAATAGGTAAACTTAAAATGTTTTGCTTAAAAAGGCAACGCCTCCACCACCTTCGTGCAGGAAGCAAATGAAAAAAGCCACTTTTAGCCCAAAGTTCCTTTCCTTAGTCAAAAAAACGGAGACTCACCCATGTATTCTCGGTTCCTTTTTAAGGCTTTCTGTAGTTCTTCCTCAGTGTTAAAATCAACAAATACATACCCTGCGGAATTTGAAAATGATTGATAGTTTATTATTTAGACCTGTGCAAACCACTCTCATTAACAAACAAAAGGTAATAAGAACCGTGTATCCAAGCGCCTAAACGACAAATCCCATTACCTGTCTTGTTCCCATGCGCGTTCCTCACAATCCGGATCGCCAGGGGCCGAAGGGGCACAAAAAACTCTTTCACGTTTTGCTGCATCCGTAAAAGACAGACAAGCATGAAAAAGGCGGTTAATTCTACAGCCCACCCACATCCCTGCCCACGAAGCCGTGATCTTGAAAAAAGTCCTCCCAATATTTGACACTGAATTCCTACTCTGATTGGTTTGGAAGGAAACCGCAATCCAGGTTTAACGCGCTCCAAGGAGGGCGAGATTTGTTTTCCTTTGGCAGACAAGTTTTAACGGGTTAAAAGCTGGCTTACCTCCGTGACATTGAATGGGGCACCTCGCATCTTCACCGTGAATGCTGTGGTGGGCTCCTTGGCTGGAACTGTTCTGTCTTCCTACAGGAAGACATACAAAAACATCTGTATTTGTTATTAATAATAATAATAATAATAATAATAATAATAATAATAATAATAATAATAATATAGTTGGAAGGGACCTTGGAGGTCATCTAGTCCGACCCCCTGCTCAGCCAGGAAACCCTATGCCATTTCAGAGAAATGGCTGTCCAGTCTCTTCTTAAAAACTTCCAGTGTTGGAGCATCCAAGGTTGCCTACCCCTGCTTTAGACTGTGTCCTCCATTGGGACGTACCTGCGGTGTCATTTTTGTAGCCTTGGTGTCTGCAGAGAGATTCTGGACTCTCTCCTTCCCAGTCTGCTTGGTCTTCGTGTTAGAAGCAGCGCCTGGCTGGTGGCTGGTCTTCCCTTCCGTCTCTCCTTCCTCTCCTCCATCAGATGCCTCGCTGTCCGTCTCCTCGGCCTCGCTCTCCTCTGCCGACGAAGGCGAGGATTCGTCCCCCTTCACCACTTTGGATCGCAGATAATCCATATCGGAGAGTTCTTGCTCGATTGCTGCCTTACTCGGAGAGCTTTCTCCCTTCTCTGGGGAGGGAGACAAAAAAAGGGCATCAGCTATTGCCTGGCAGACCCCCGTTTGACTTAGGAAGTCACTAAAAGGGCGCAGACCAATGTTGGATCCAGCGTTAAGATGGAAAGGGAGAAGGGACACAAAATATAGCAATAGCACAACACTTATAGCCCTCTCTGAGTAGTTTACAACGTCAGCATATTGCCCACAACAATCTGGGTCCTCATTTTACCGATCTTGGAATGATCATTAAACATTTCTCTTCTCCTGCAACAAGCTCCTTCAGTTCTAGCTGAAGAAGAGTTAGAACTGAAGAAGTTTCTTGGCCAAGAAGCAAAACGCTTTCAAAGAAAAACACCAAACAAGTCCAGTTGCCTTTTGGAGGTTGAAAAAAAAAGAAGAAACAGGATACTTTCAAACTTGGGACTTATTTTATCAATGGCTGGAGAAAAGAACAAAGGATTAGGAATTCAATTTGTATTAATGAATTGTATCACTCAGACAACACGTTTGCTGAATAAGTACTTTTGAATTGTATTAAAAAAATAAATAAAAAAAAAAGAGTTGGAACTGAAGAAGCTTCTTGGGTGAGAAGCAAAACATTTTCAAAGAAAAACATCAAGAAAGTCCAGTTGCCTTTTGGAAAAAGGACCTTTGGGACAATGCTCAAGAAATTATTGATAAAATATCACAAAAAAACAGAATGGGCCCCTTACTTGGAGCAACCTCCGCATCCATCTCCTCGCTCGAGTCCTCATCGGAATCAAAGTTCAGATAATCTTCAACCACCTCAGCCTGGTGGGGGTCTTGGATTTTTGTGTCATTGGACCAAGTTGCAACCTGGGACCTTTTCTGATGTACTGCCAAGAAGTCTTGAAATGCTGCTTCTCCTTCCAACTGGCCAAAGATAGGATCATGGTTAGAAAGGATCATGGTTAAAAAAAATTCACAATATTTGGGGCAACTCCTTCCCCAAGGGCAAAGTTTGAAGGATAATGTCCTCTATTTCAGGATGTCGTTATTTCAAGGACATGAGAAAAAAAAAAATGGAAGGATCTCTCAGGATTCAGAAAAATCTCCATCAGTGCCACAAATCTTGGAGAAGTTTAAATGAGGCTGGTTTGAGCAGCCACATTAATTGCTAATACGCTGCTAATTAGCTGCCAGTGTTTTTGACTCAGCAGCATACAAATAAAATAAACAACAAGTATTTTTTTCTCTATCCTTTTTTTTGCAGTGCAAGGAATGGAGTGACATAGAAAGTTGAGCCATAAAATAAACCAACAGAAGAATATAAGTAGCAACGCCAAAAGTAAAAGCAAAATAAAAAGTAGCATATTTTAAAAGTTGCAAAACCAACCATATCCACGCAAGTACAAAAGGGATACACTAGCAATCTTAAAAAGAGTAATGGAAAGTGATGTTACAAATTCAGTTAACTCCCAAAACAAAATGCCCATGTTGTTTTTTGTTAAAAAAAAAACCCAAAACATCAAAAAACAAACTCCTTAATTCAAATGCTGACAAACACAACTCTTTTTGTTCACAGATATCTATCTATCCTCCTTGCAAGAGATTCAGAGTTACCTCTTTCAATTGTCCCGTTTTGTTTTTCTTCTTTGTTCCATCCTAGGAAACGTAAGGAAAAAAAGGTTTTAAAACATCACACGCTCCATATAAAAGGAAATGTTAAAATGGATTTAAAAGTCACTAGGTTGAGGCAGAGACAAGAAAGTAGAATAGCTGAAAGTCTTTACCTAAAGGCAATTTGACATGCAATAAAGCTTGTGGGGGGGGGGGAATCTCTTTTTCTTACTTGTTTTATTTCTGCATGGTCTGAATTCTTTGTGGATTTTTTAGAGGTTTCCTTTAACAGTTGAGGCTTACTCGAATGTTTACTCCAAGCTTTAGACTTTGATGGATCCCCAAAAGACTTACATACTTCAACCTGGAGGGGGAAAAAAGATATTTATAAGCCCGCTGTCTATATGGAGATTCTCAGTCATCCTAGTCATGGTTGTGGAAAGATGCTGTTCAAAAGACAATTGGATTTTCTTGGGTTTTTTTTTTCTCAAAAACATTTCGCTTCTCATCTAAGAAGTTTTTTTCATTTCTAACTGAAAAAGAGTTAGAACTGAAAAAGCTTCTTGGATGAGAAGTGAAACATTTTCAAAGAAAAACAATAAGCCCACCCAAACCTCACTCTTGTTTCATGAAAGTGAATTTATACAGGAGATCAAGATACTATATGGTGTCTTCATCTGCCCTAGATCATCCTCAAGAGATGAACCAAATACTGTAGTTTCTGAATAACAGACTAAGGATTAACATTATTTTACACCTTGAAGTCCTAGAAAACTCCCAACAGCCTGAAAATGTCCAGAATTGCTGGTTCGATCTCAAAGGCTAAACAAGTTTCAAGGGCTCACCGTGACTCTGGATGTGTCTATGAAGCTTTTGTTGAAATGAGACTGGGCAGTTTTGGCGTCTTCTTCTGACTGAAAGCCAATAAATCCAAATTTGCGGAATTTGCCATCCTTGGTGAATTTCAAGCAGCAATCGGTCAGCGTGCCAAAGGCGGCGAAGAGGTGGCGAAAGCGTTCTTCCTTGATCTGTAGGAGAAGCAATCACAATCAAATCATGGAAGCAGAGTTAAGAAAGCTAACATGAATCGCGTTACATGGTCACATTCTCCTGGATGAAGCATTTTCTACCACAGCCAGTTGGGTTTTTTTTTCTCTGCTTCAATGGTATCTGATTCTCAGGGCTGGCGGGATAAGTCTGCAGTTTTCTTGACAATATTTTTCAGAAGTGGTTTGTTATTGCTTCTATCCTAGGGCTGAGAGTGAGGGACGGACCCAAAGTCACCCAGCTGACTTCACCCCCAGGGCAGAACTAGAACTCACAGTCTCCCACTTTCAAGCTTGGTGCCTTAACGACCAGATCTAACTTGCTCTCAATTGCTTTTGTATTATTATTTTCTTTCCAATCATGTCCAATTCTTGGAGACTGCCTGCACAAATCCCTGCACTTTTCTTGGTAAAACTGCAGTGGTTTGACATTGCTGCCTTCTTAGGGCAGAGAGAGAGGGACTGGCCCAAAGTCACCCAGCCTGCTTTTATGTCCAAGGCAGGAGTAGAACTCCCAGTCTCCTACTGATTGGCCCAAAATCACCCAGTTGGTTTTCATGCCTCAGGCAGGACTAGAACTCCAGTCTCCTAATGACTGGCCCAAAATCACCCAGCCCGGCTTTCACGCCTCAGACAGGACTAGAACTCCCAGTCCCCCCCGGTTTCTAGCCTAACACCTTAACTCCTGCACCCAACGGGCAACTCCCTCCCTGCGCCTGCAGCCATTCGAGCTCCAAGGGGCTCCCCAGCTGCAACCGGACGCAAAGAAACGACGGTTTCTACACGCACCGCAACCCCCTCGTCCCCGCCTTTCTCACCCCGTTGGGCAGATTCTTCACAATCAGCCGCGACATGCCGGCATCCGAGGCGGCCACTTGAGGGACAAGCCGAGCCCGCTAAACACGCCTCAGCCTGGGCGCCGCCATTTTGCCCGCGCCGCCAGATCATGTGACTCCAGGTCCCTTCTGCGCCTGCGCGCCCGGAGAAGCGCCTCCTCGTAGCCGTTTCGAGGCGTCCGGGTGCTGTATGTGCAAAGAGGAAGAGAGAGAGATAAAGAAGTTTTGCATAGATTCTTCCGGTTCTCAATGCGGGGATTGAAAAAAAGCTTGAGGGGGGCTCGCTTTTTTCCCCCCTCTGTGCGTAGGATTTCAGCCGTTGTCTACAGTTTAGAAAAATAAAAATCAGCGTCTTTCTTCCGCCTTATTTAGCCCCCCTCCCCTTCATCTGTATATGTTCTTTGGAAGCGTTAAACGGGCTCGAATGGGAACCGGCAGTAGGCATCTGTACCTCCGTCTTCCTCTTTGCCCGGGTCCTTGGCCCGAAGCACTTGTTCAAGGCATGCGCAGAGGTAGCTTGAGCTAATTCTGAAAATGGTCAGCAGGTGGCGGCAGAGGACGGGAAGTTATAGGCTCTTATAGCAAAAGTATCAAGAAAAAAAAAGTGATTTTTTTTTTTGCTCCTGACACCCAACAAAAAAAGAGCGGATTCACAATAAGCCTTACTTTTGTTCAACCATGGTTTTATAGGTAGTCCTCGACTTATGACCGTTTCCATTGCCAGATCTGCTTTGTCCCACCGTCTCTAAGGGTTTTGAAACAGAAGGTGGCAATTTTTTTTTCAGTTGCATTAATCTAATCTATTCGGCTAGCTCAGACTTGTATTTTTTTTGTGAACTGGCAAAATATTTAAGAATTATTGAAATGAAATTGCAGAACCGTCTCGTGGGCTGCCTTTTAATAAGAAGTATTAGCTGGAAAAGGTTCAACCAAGTGTCATCCTGAGCTGCGCTACCATACTTCTGGAGGAAGTGAGGAAGACTTTTCTGTTATTAAGTTGGTTTATTTAATCAGAGTTAAAAGAGATATTTTGTTATCTCTGATAACCCTAATGGACTTTTGCTGATCAGGACTGAAACAACAAGGCTTTAAGGATTTATGTATAGATAAGAGATGGATTGTGGGAAGGAGAGATTATCTGTTGTATTTTAAGAGAAGGTGAGAAGTTACTAACGTTTATATTTGTTGAGATGAAGGTGGGAACTCATTTTGTCATGTACTTTTTTTTAACTACATTCTTGTTTTTCTTTCTTTTCTTTTTATTTTTCTCTTTTTCTTGGTTTTTCTGTATCTTTGACTTTTCCTTTTGATTCTTTTTTGTTTTATTAATTTCTACTATGGTAATTATAATCTTTAATAAAATTACTATTAAAACCTCCTTCTCCTCCACTTTCTTCTTCTTCTTCTTCTTCTTCTTCTTCTTCTTCTTCTTCTTCTTCTTCTTCTTCTTCTTCTTCTTTTCTTCCTCTTCCTCTTCCTCTTCCTCTTCCTCTTCCTCTTCTTCTTCTTCTTCTTCTTCTTCTTCTTCTCCTCCTCCTCCTCCTCCTCTTCTTCTTCTTCTTCTTCTTCTTCTTCTTCTTCTTCTTCTTCTTCTTCTTCTTCTTCTTCTTCTTCTTCTTCTTCTTCTTCTTCGTCTCCTCCTCCTCCTCCTCCTCCTCCGGTGCGTTTGTCTCTGTTTTCTTCTTCTGAATTATAAACCTAGAATGGTTTTCATTTCTTCTTCTGAACATTTCTAGTTGTTTTTATTCATTTATTCATTGTCTCGTGGCTTCCTTTTGGTTGGAATCTTCAGTTTGCTGCCCAGCCTCCCTGTGGTGAGAGGGGCAGTCGAACCCATGGCTGAATGGAATGAAAACCTTTTTTAAAAAAAAAAAAGACCAGAAAGAAACCCAGGGCAGGCAGGCAGGCAGGCAGTGGTGGGAAGAGCTGGAGCCAGCTAATGCTACCTAACAAGAGACTTTCTCCCACCCGTCCCGCTCAGATCAACCTGCCAAGTGACATTAAGCATCTGGCTTATCTAATGAGCTGGACATACCATGGCAAAACCCAGGGGGGGCAGAGGTCGCCTGGCGAGGAAATAATATTATGGGATGCCTGCAGCCCCGCCACTGGATTCTCACAGGGCAGACAAGAGACCCAAAGTCTCTCCGGCGGGTCTCCTGCGGGTGGCACGGCAGGGAGGGGGTGGCCAAAGCCAGCTGGGACATCCTTCCTGCTGGCCCTTGGCGATTGGTCTGGCACATCACATTAAGCCATGATTTATGAGTTGGGGGATGCCGAAGGCCAACAATGGTTTATACCACAAGGAAGAGCAATGGCTGGACCCCTCCCCCATCAGACAGAAAAACCACCTTCTAACCACGTCTGTCTGAGCCAGGTGATAGTTAGCCTAGAATCCAAAAGTGAATTCCATAACAGCCAGTTTGGTCTACTGGTTGATGCACCAGCTTAGAAAGCAGGAGACCCTGAGTTCTAGTCCTGTCTTACGCACGAAAGCCAGCTGGGTGACTTTGGGCCAATCACCAGGAGGCTGGGAGTTCTAGTACTGCCTTAGCCATGAAAGCTGGTTGGGTGACTTTGGGCCAATCACCAGGACAGAGGGAGTTATAATCCCTCTTTAGGCATAAAAGCTGACTGGGTGATTTTGGCCTAGTGCCCTGGTCATTCTTGCTCCGTCCAACTCACCTCACAGGATTGTTGTTATGGAAAAAATAGGAGGAAGGTATAGAATAAAATAGAAATACAGAATAGAATAGAATAGAATAGAATAGAATAGAATAGAATAGAATAGAATAGAATAGAATAGAGCTGGAAGGGACCCTGGAGGTCTTCTAGTCCAGCTCCCCGCTCAAGCAGGAGAACCTATACCGTCTCAGACAGGTGATTGTCCAGTCTCTTCTTGAAAATCTCCAGTGATGGAGCGCCCACGATTTCTGGTGGCAAGCTGTTCCACCGGTTAATTGTCCTCACTGTCAGGAAGTTTCTCCTTAGTTCCAGGTTGCTTCTCTCTTTGATCAGCTTCCAACCCTTGTTTCTCGTCCTTCCCTCTGGTGCTCTGGTGAACAACCTGACCCCACCCTCTGTATGTTGAATATATTCGACCTCTTGAGCTATTTGTAAAAAGAACCAAAGGCGGGATACTAACTAAACAAACAAACAAACAAACAATCCAGCTAGCCAGCATGGATCAAGCATCTCCACAGCAAAGGGAGCCTGGGGGAAGAGACAGCCCCCCCCATCCTTCCCACCATCCTGGTACTCTTCCTTCCTCCTGATTTCCTTCTCTACTTGAGCCTGAATGGGCTCTGGGGATAGTCCAGGCAACAGCTGCCTTTGATCAAACCCACATCTGGGCTTGCCAGCGCGGCAGAGAGACCGCCCTGTGATCAAAGGTTGGAGCCCTCTGACAGCCTGATTGAGTGGGGGAGGGGGACAGGGAGGAGGGGATCCTGTTTTCCCCACTACAGCACCCCTGTGAAGTCAGTTGGACTGAGAGAGAGAGAGAGAGGGACTGGTTGTATTCCCCAACCTGTATTCATGCCCAAGGGAAGACTGGAACTCACAGCCTCCTGGCATCTAGGCTAGCATCTTCAGCACCGTGCCAGGCAGAATCTGAATGATATTTTATTTTGTACATCCTGTTGCAAATATCTCTGCTTCCAGTCATCACTGCACCGAGGTGAAGCACAGAGAGAGAAAGTGTGAGAAGTAGTTCTCTCTCTTTTGTTTATCTCCAGACACACACACACACACACACACAACCCTCGACCTGAAAAGATTTACAGAAATAACAAAGATGCCTGCTGAGAAAATGAAAGGAAATTGTCAGCATTAGGCAAAAGAGACAACTGGCCAATTTACACAACAATTTCTGAGGGTGATACCATCTTGCCTTGTTGTACTCCAGCAAACTGATGCCCAGCAGGGCTGCAGAAGACATGTGAATTGGCCGGTGGATATTTTTTCACAACTTTCTTCTGAAGCCACCTTGGGTCCTCCTGGAGGTGAGGATGGTGTTCCCAAGTCTCCTCACGGTCACGAGAAGTCAAGTTGCATCAGCTGGGCACAAAGTCACACTTCAGAGAAGAAGGGGGGAGGCAAAAAAGGGGGGTGTAGAATCTGAATAACAGAATCACAGAGTTGGAAGGGACCTTGGAGGTCTTCTAGTCCAACCCCTGCTCAAGCAGGAGACTGTATGGCATTCCAGACAGATCTTCTCTTGAAAACCTCCAGTGTTGGAGCACCCACAACTTCTGGTGGCAAGCCGTTCCACTGGTTAATTGTTCTCCCGGTCGGGACAAGCAAAGTCAACAAGGAAGGCAGATTCACTTAACAACTTTACAACTGCAGTGATTCACTTAACAAAGGTGGTAAGAAAAGTCGTGAAATGGAGCAAAACTCACTTGACAGATTTTTTTCACTTAGCAACATAAAATTTTGGTATTCCTCGACTGTGGTCGTAAGTTGAGGAATACCTGTATCATATAAAGGCACCTTCATGCATAAAATTCACAAAGTCCCAAACGCTGGACCTCTTCCTCCCTCTCTCTTTCCTTCTTCTTTCCTTCTCCTTCTTTCTACCTCTGCCTTCCTTAGAAAACCTGGGGGAGGGGCCGACTCGCAGCTTTGAAATCTGTGCAGGGTGCCCATTTAAAAAAAAAAAACAGACTTTGTGCAGATTAAGTTGACGGATGGTGGGCTGGTTGCCCTGCAAGACCCAAAGTCATCCATAATCAGAGTTAAAAGAAATATGGCATTTTTAAAAAAAGGGAAAAAAAGGAAGAGAAACATATTTAAAAGATAAAGGCAAGGAGAAAGTTTGCCTCTCATTAATTATGGGAATAAAATCTGAGTCCTAGGATTTTGCAGTTAAAGACACACACAAGAGAGACACTTCTTTGAGAGTTAAGTAAGGAGTGTAACTGTGCCAAGGTAAAAGTTGTACCATTAGGTTGCGGTACAAGATCTGGGTACCTTTAAGCAGGGCTTTTTTTCTCATAGACTGCCCAGAACAGAGTTCTGGCACTTTTTTTGGATGGAACCTTGTAGGGTAGGCAAGGTGGGTTGTATGACGTGTGTAAGTTCTGGCACTTTTTTTTTTTTTTTTAG